TTTTTTTTTTTTTGGTACCGGGGATCGAACTCAGGTCCTTGCACTTACAAGGCAGGCGGCGAAAGCACTGAGTTAAATCCCCGGCCCTATTGTGGTTTTGACTTGTATTTCTCTAATGAGTAAATATTTTGAGCATATTTTCATATGCTTCTCTGCCATTGGTGTGTGTGTTTGTGTATGTGTGTGTGTGTATATATATATATTTAATTAATTAATTAATTAATATATTTTGGTACCAGAGATCGAACTCGGGTCCTTGCGCTTGCACCATTGGTATATTTTTGGTAGAATGTTTTGCCCATTAAAAAAAAGTGAGTTATCCCAGGTGTGGTGTTATGTGTCAGGCTGAGACAGGAGGATTGCAAGTTCCAGCCTGGTTAGCTTAGGGATTTAGTAAGATCTTTTCTAAAACACAGAAAAATAAAAATAAAAAGAGGCTGGGAATGTAGCTCAATATGGGGCCCTGGGTTCGATCCCCAGGCACCCCCCCCCCAAGTTGTATGATTTTGTGTATTCATTATGGATATCCTTTGTCAAATACATTTGAATGTGTTTCTCTATTTGTATGGAAGTATTCAATATTTCAATATTCATTAGATTTTTTCCCCATAAATTACAGAGACTCTTTGGTCAATTAATTTATACCAGATAGTTTTGTTACTTCTAGTTGTTTTCTTTTTTTTTGGTACTGGGGATCGAACTCGGGACCTTGCACTTGTGAGGCAGGCGGTGGAACCATTGAGCTAAATCCCTGGCTACTTCTAGTTTTCTAATAAAACTAGATTTTAGTACTGTTTCCTCTGTAAGAGGTAATAAATCATATTAGGGAAGATAATGTAGAAATGTGCTGCTTTCTGATAATGTCAGCTTCTTCAAGGGAAGTGTAAAATTATGATCATGAATTGTCAGCAAATTAGAGTACTATATTTAAAAGTGCTTCTAACCAGACATGGTGGTGCATGTCTGTAATCCCAGGACTCGGAGGCTGTGAGGTAGGAGGATTGCTGTAAGTTTGAGGCCAGCCTTGGCTACATAGTGAGTTTAAGGCCACCCTGAACTACAGAGTGGGACCCTGTCTCAAAAAAAAGTGTGTCACAGGGCCGGGGATTTAGCTCAGTGGTTCCACTGCCTGTCTCACAAGCTCAAAGTCTCGAGTGCAATCCCTGGTACCAAAAAAAAAAAAGAAAAGTGTGTCTTCCTGACTTTCTAATGCAGGAGTACAAGTACATAAAATATAATTGTTAACTTCTAATGACATGTATAGAATTTTCATGAGTAATTTTTTGAGGGGTACCAGGAATTGAACTCAGGGCCTTGCACTTGCCAGGCAGGTACTGTGCTGCTGAGGCACATCCCCAGCCCTCATAAATAAATAAATAAATAAATAAATAAATAAATAAATAAATAAGTTTTGGTACTAGGGATCGAATTCAGGCGTCATGCTTATCAGGCAGGTCCTGTGGCGCTGAGGTAAATCCTCAGCCCTTCTCATAAATAATTTTTAATTTACTGTTATTTTGGTACCAGGGATCGAACTCAGGATCTTGTGCTTGCAAGGCAGGTGTGGCGCCACTGAGCCAAATCCCTGGGCCCTTCTCATAAATAATTTTTTTTTGGTACCCGGGATTGAACTTGGGTCCTTGCGCCTGTGGGACAGGCGGTGGAACCACTGGGCTAAATCCCCGGGCCTCTCATAAATAATTTTTGATGATTACAAATTTTATTTCTCATGAGTACTTCATAGTATAAAAAGTATCCTAAAATTTTTCATTATAGATATAATACACATGTTTTTGGAATAAAAATCAGAATATGATGTGTAAGAATTTTCTTAGATTTATTTAGATGAAAGACAATTTCAGTTATACCTAAAAATTTTTTTTGTACCAGGGGTCAAACTCGGGTCCTTCTGCTTGCGAGGCGGGCCATGGAACCACCGAGCTAAATCACCAGCCCATCAGTTATACCTAAATTACAAATTTTAACACCTTGCAAAAAGAAAAATTATGCTAAGAAAACTTGGGATATAGCTCAGTGGTAGAGTGCTTACCTGGTAGGCAAGGCCTAGTTTCAATCCTCCCCAAACCCCTCCTCCCCCATTACATTAAAAAATAAGACTGTCACTTGAAAATAAGCACACTGAAATATCTGGATTTATGTTTGGTTTTAAGGAATATTGGAAAGCATCTCAGTTTTTTAGTAAGAACACTGTCACTTCGTGAATGAAAGTGAAATATCTGGGCTGGGGTTTTAGCTCAGTCATTCTGGCGCCTACCTCACAAGCACAAAGTCCCGAGTTCAATCCCCGGTACCAAAAAAAAAAAAAAAAAGAAAGTGAAATATTTATACAATAATTATGCATGGTTAACAGTTTTTATTTTAATAGAAGTCTTTCAGGATTTTATTTTTGTGGTGCTGGTGTTTGGACCCAGGCCTCAAGCTTGCTAGGCAAGTACTCTCTGCCATTCAGCTAGACCTCCACCCTAAGATTTTAAAATTACTTTTTTTTGGTATCAGGAATCAAACTCAGGACTGATGACACCACTGAGCTAAATCCCTGGCCTAAAATTACTTTTATTTTAGGTTCAGTAACCTCTTTTAGAATGTAAAAATCCCTAAAGACTTCTGAGAGAGTCATTTTAGCTAAATGTTCCGGAAAGGTTAAGGGTTGTTTAGTAAATACTACATTTAAGAAACGAGAGCAGTTTTAATAATGGCACATACATTTGTTGAGGGGAGAAAAGGATAAGTGTAAATGAGAGCTTTTAAAAAGTCTCTTTGCAGCTTTTCCCTCATATGTATAATGTATATTGTCTAAAAATTTTTGTTGTTGTTTTTGTCTTTTTGAGACAGGGTCTTGCTATGTAGTTCAGGTTGGCCTTGGACTCACTGTATAACCCAGGTTGGCCTACAACTTGTGGTGTGATCCCCCTGCTTCAGCCTTCTAGGTAGGGGCTGGGTTAGAGGCATGCACCACCACACCTGGGTATTATTTTAAAATATTTTAATTCATTCTGGAAAATTATTGATATGAAATAATAATGTTAACTTTGTTTTTTTTCCAGATATGGCCGCGTGGAAAGTGTTAAAATTCTCCCCAAGAGGGGATCTGAAGGAGGAGTGGCTGCCTTTGTGGATTTTGTGGACATCAAAAGTGCACAGAAAGCTCACAACTCCGTTAACAAAATGGGAGATAGAGACCTACGCACGGATTATAATGAACCAGGCACCATTCCGAGTGCTGCTCGGGGATTGGATGATACAGTTTCCATAGCATCTCGTAGTAGAGAGGTTTCTGGGTTCAGAGGAGGTGGTGGAGGGCCTGCTTATGGCCCCCCACCATCACTTCATGCACGAGAAGGACGTTATGAGCGGAGACTTGATGGGTAAGTTCCAAGGTTTCTGTAGGCAGGTATTTTGTATTTGATGTGGTGAGAAACAGAAACTCGTATTTAGGGGCCCCAGATGGATTTAAAGTTTTGGGCATTCTCAATGTTTCCTATTTTGGGTTGGAAACGGAAGTGATTTCTGTCCCAGTGGCTGGTATCTTATGGAATCATAGAGGATATTTCCTGCAGTGGATTGGATATCTGCTCCTGAGATATAATGTGGTGGAAGAGTTCCTGTGGCAGCGTCATTTTTGGAGTTATCTGTCTTCTAGAATTAATTATTCCTGCTTTTGGATAATATTAAAAGCCTCCTTTGGATATATCCCTTCTACTCAATGGAGCTATTTGGCTACAGGTTTTGTGGTCATGCTATTTGGAATATTCCTGGAATACTAAGAGCCTACAGATTATTTTCAAAGTTATTTGCTTCTTGGTGTTCACTACATGAAGTGTACAAACAAATTGGATTGTCGTGAAAAATGTAGCAGACCATAATGATTCAACCATTTGGATTCTACAAACAATACTTTAACATGGAAATGTATACTTGGATGAAGAAGAGTGAAGGCAATGCTTGAATTTTCCATTTTGGATCTACACAGTTTCGATGTTGGAATTACACTCCTTGATGGAATGGGGGAAAATTGAGATGATGGAACATTCATAAATTCTGGAATATAGCCATTCTTTTCTAATTGCTGGAATGTATGGGGTGGCATGCTTTCAAGACTCCATTAGCCCAGAGGAAGAGGATTACTATTTCATTTCTTAAGCAAGTTGCTTCTAACTAAAGGTACTTTAACTTTGAACTCATGGTGATGATTGGTTGTGGATACGACGATCAAAACTGACTGGCTGGATGGCTACAAAAGTGAACAGTTGGCAAGCAACCATGTCTTCCTCATTTGTTGGAATTGTAGAGATCTGTCCTCTTCTGCCAGCTGTCTGATTCACACTTAGGGCTGGAGATTTTTATGAATGTGGATCAATTTATAAGTATCTGCTATCTCAAGAAAGAAGTCTGGGGGTTTGAGAGTTACAGTTTGTCTGGGACTACTTGCTTCCAGTGGAATTATTTTGTCTGGTCACTATGATTTTTTTTTCTTTGTGGTTCATCTAAATATCATTTGACACCCTTGCCCATTAAGAAGGTGGATTACCCCCATAAGAGGGGCCAAAATTGGGGAAGTTATGTTCACAATTCTCTCCCTAGATTTAATTGGGATTATAGGTCGTGTTTCCACAGTTGGAAAAGGTTGGTATGTCCTGACCTGTGTATATTAGCCCCTCTCCTAACCCAAGTCAAACTCTTTTCCTCCCCCACTAACTATAGAAGTATTTAGTACTAATAGATGAATCAAAGAATAGCCGTTAGATTTCAGCTCTGCTAGCTCTTATGCTTGCCTTCTGTTTCTTCCTAATGGATAAGAATTTTGCATATTTATAAAGTATCATCTGTAGAAGTAAGTCTTCTAGAACTGTTTGCCTGTTGCTTCTGTTATATCAATAATAATGACTTTCATTGATTAACATTTGATAGAGTGCTAAATGAACGATTTATAAAATTTTCTCTTAAGTCTCAAATTTCAGAATTTTTGCAAATAAAAAAGAAAGTCATTTAATAAATCCAAGAAGGAAAGATAGTACTGAATTTTTTTTCCATGCCAATTGCTTTTCATACTAACAACAATAGCAACAAAATAGCCTAGGAAAATGGGATTGCTACTAAATAAAATGGTGGGTGAAAATGAATATTACTAGAAAGATGTGGTATATAGAAATGTATTAGGAAAATAATTGCCACAAAATTTTGCCAGATACCCTTCACTGGAGAGATCCTAGTTTATCTTTCATGATTCTTTAATCCCTTTTGATAGAAGATAGTTCACAGATAAAATCAAAGAGGAATGTGAGTGAATTGGTCTTATTAGGAACTCAGGAGCTGAGTTTTAGTTCCCTACAAAAGTAGAGAACTTATGATATACAAATAGAATTTGTTTCTCATATTAACACATACTTGTATAATTTTACATGTAGTGCTTTTTCGTACTCCTGAGTAGACAAATATTCACATCCTACTAAACAATTTCTTAAGGGGCCCAGGGATGTGGCTCAGTGTTAGAGCACTTGCTTAACCTGTGCAAGGCCTGGGTTCAATCCCTAACCCTGCAAAAAACCGAACCAAACAAAATGTAAAGTTTGAACCAAACAAAATGTAAAGTTAAGGCATTGCTAGTAGTGACCTTTGAGTATATTATAGTTCCTGACATTGCCTAATTTTGCTACAGGCAACTTGAATATAACTAAAACTAAGAACATAGTTCCTCTAATCAGTAAGTACATGTATTAACAGATTGACTCATGGAATAGACATTTTAAAAATTATGTGAAATTTGATATTGCATAGGATTGCATGTGATAATCTAGTATTTTGGTATCTTAAGTGTTATAAGATTTCATTTTTGTTATTAAATATAATTGAGCAATTTGTGTAGTTTTGGGAATTTTTATAATTACCCGAGCAGTCAAAAGTCAATGAGTATGCCGGGCATGGTGGTCCACACCAGTAATCCTAGCTACCTGGGAGGCCGAGGCAGGAGGATCACAAGTTCAGGGCCAGCCTGTGTAACTTCTTGAGATCCTGTCTCAAAATGAAAAAGGGCTGGGCATTGTAGCTCAGTACTAGAGCGCTTGCTTAGCATGCGTGAGACCCTGGGTTTGATCCTCAGGACTGCCACAAAGTAGATAGTTAGAAAAAGTAGCATTTACAAATTTTATCTGGATTCCTTTGAAAGTCCTTCCTACGGTAGAACATGCACTGCAACAGGGCTTTCATGTATATGTCTAAATGTAATATGAAAATATGGCCTAAAATAAATTTGCTAGTAAATAAAAGTTCAGTATATATTTTAACCAGATTAAAGTGTAAAAAAACTTTCAAATTAAAATGAGAGCTTCATGTTAAGCTTGTTAGTGTTTGCTTATTGAGTAGACTAATGCTGTTTAGAAAATGACCATTTGCAAAAACAGACAATTCTAAGGTGAATGTTTGCATGACTTACTAAATTTTGCTTGCTCCTCTCTGATTAAGTATTTTTCCCCCCTCCTAAATGCAGGGCTTCAGATAACAGGGAGCGTGCTTATGAACATAGTGCCTATGGACACCATGAACGGGGGACGGGAGCATTTGATCGGACAAGACATTACGATCAGGATTACTATAGAGATCCTCGAGAGCGGACATTACCACATGGGCTCTATTACACTTCTCCTCGGAGTCGAAGTCCAAACCGTTTTGATGCTCACGATCCCCGATACGAACCTAGGGCTCGGGAGCAGTTTACATTGCCCAGTGTGGTACACAGGGATATCTACAGGGATGATATTACCCGAGAGGTACGAGGCAGAAGGCCAGAGCGGAATTACCAGCACAGCAGGAGTCGCTCACCACACTCATCCCAGTCTAGAAATCAGTCTCCTCAGAGACTGGCTAGCCAAGCGACTAGACCCACCAGGTCCCCTAGCGGCAGCGGCTCTAGGAGTAGATCCTCCAGTAGTGATTCAATCAGCAGCAGCAGTAGTACCAGCAGTGACAGGTAGGTTAACAGCCTTTTGTTATATATAACAGATGAGCTGTTACATTTCAATGATCATTGGTAATGGTTTTAGCATAATGATTTTTTGGAGAAAATAATCTTGGATTGTATATGTAATAAGTAAAGAAACTTTAACATGTGGCATTGAATTAACCAGAAGCTAACCAGTGATGCAAAATACTGTTTCATAGTTTAGAAACTCAATATAAAAATTAAATTGCCAGCCGGGCATGGTGGCACATGCCCGGGAGCACTCGGGAGGCTGAGGCAGGAGGATTGCCATGAATTTGAGGCCAACCTGGACTGCATAGTGAGTTCAAGGCCAGCCTGAACTACATAGCAAGTCCCTGTCTCAAAAAACAAAGCCAAAGAGAAAGGTAATTGGTGACTTAAGGTATGAGATAAATCTTAGGACACTGAAAATGTGTTATCTCTAGTTTTTAACTTTTTAGGTTGTACAGTGCCAGTTTATTTTTGTTATTTTGCTTGAACGTTTGTAAAAGCTGTTTGCTTAAATTTTTATTGGTGCATTGTTGACACATCTCTTATCAATGTCTAAATCAGCTTATAAACATATTAACTAACTTTAACATCAAGGTGGTTAGCCAGTCTAAAACTCAAATAGAAAAGCTTTCTTTTGTTGCAGGTTGTGACTTCCTTGTTCTCTAAGTCTGGAATAACTCATTTCCTTAGTTGGGAATGTTTTTTCAAAGGGACTTATTCTAAAGATGACAAATAATAAAGTGAAAATAGTCTTAAGGAGATTTAGAAGTTACACATGGATTTGGAAATAGTAGATCTAGGTAGATGGTGTAGATTACTTTTAGTAATTTTAGACAATTTACTTAAACTCTCTGGGCCTCAACTTTCTCATCTTTTATAAGAACCTTACTTTATAGAGTTATTGTGAAGATTAAAATGAAAACTGCTTGTAAAATACCTTGGGCCAGGGATTTAGCTCAGTGGTTTCGACGCCTGCTGTGCAAGCGCAAGGACCCGAGTTTGATCCTTGGTACCAAAAAAAAAAAATTCTTACCTTAATACCTCCTTTATGTTAAATGACCCCCCCCCCCCATGAGTACTGCCCTGCTTTGATTGCTTGCTAGCTATTCTTATTACTTCAGATGCCTATATCCTTTGGCCTCCTCCAGTTTCCTGTTATTGTTACTCAGTTAATCCCAGATGTCCTAGTTTTAAATTTAGATGATATAAAATTTAAGTTTGCAAGGCACAACTTCTTTGACCTGATTAAAATCCCAGATTATTTTTCTTTCAGTATTGCCTGCTTAGATTTAATTTAAGAAAAGTAATGATTATGGAATTTAATGGCTGTTTTTAGGTTTTCTAAATTTTCTCATTCAGAATAATAAATGGAAACATTTGGTTCTTAAAGTGAAACAAGTACTTTGTTTAGGGAGTTAGCAAAGTAATTTTTTTTCTTCAAATATCACATTGTTTCTCTTATATGATAAACCCAAAATATAAATAAAAAAGAAAATAAGAGGTAGATAATAGGAAGTAGGGAGATGGACATTTTGTAAATGGGAGTGGGACCAAGCGATGAAGGGAGAGAGAGGGAGGGGAAAGGGATAAAAAAAAGAATTAAGATGTGTTATGTACACATACCAACTCCCCATGAGTAGGGAGCTCTTAAAGTTGGCTGGGGTACGTGGGGGTTTGCTGGATTTTCACTCAACTTCTGGACATATTTGAATTTTTCTATAGCAAAAAGGTTAAACAATAGAAGCATAATACTTGTCATCCAAAATGTTTACAACGAACATATAGTAGCCATTAGGAAGCCTGTAACAATGTCATTTATGACATATTTATGGCAGACAACCTTTATACCACAATGGCAAAACTGGTAGAGTTAAGATCACAGATACATTCTGTGACTCAACTCTCAACATCATTGCTGGATTTTCTCCAGGAAGCAAAGTTAGTTCTCATCTCCAGCTTTGGACCTTTATGTGATATGGTTGAAAATTCCTAACTTTTATTTTATTTTTCTCTTGAGACAGTCTTGCTGTGTAATTCAGGCTGGCCTCAGCCTCCCAGGCGCTGGGGTTACAGGCATGTGCCACCATGCCCGGCTTCTTTTTTTTTTTAATTTGTTTGTTTTCCTTTGTTTTTGAGACAGGGTCTTGCACTGTAATTCAGGCTGGCTTTGAACTCACTATGTAGCCCTCACTGGCCTCAAACTTGTGACAACTCTCCTGCTTCAGCCTCTTGAGTGCTGGGATTATAGGTGTGCACCACCACACCTGGCTCTGTCTGGCTTCTTAACTTCTCTTATTTGTTATATTGTCCAAATAAATGATTGGTGAAATTCATTTGAATCCTATAAACTGATTTTAAAGTCTTGTTGTATTTCACTTTATTCTGCATATAATTGTCTTAAGTACTGAAGTTTGCTGGGCATAGTGGCACACACCTGTAATCTCAGCACTCTGGGAGGCTGAGGCAGGCAGATTGCAAGTTTAAGTCCAGCCTGTGCAATTAAGAGACTTAGAAAGACCCTCCCTCAGAATAAAAAAATGTAAAAGGACCTATGGATATAACTCAGTGCAAAGACCTTACATTCAAAACCAAGTGCTGAAAAGACAAAAAAATTTTGTCATTTCCCCCAAACCTGCCTCATTAAAGGAATGCCACTGCTTTTGGTAGGAGTTACAGTGTTTTAGGATCTGGTCTCGTTTTGTAGAATTAAAAGCTTAAAAGTGATATAATGAATTCCATGTTCACATATTAAAAAAAAAGTCTTGATTTTATTTACTGTAAAGTGCTAGAAGGGCAAGGCATGCTAAGAAAATGTACTTGGGGACTAATTGTAATTTTAAAAAGTGGTGAACAAGAGGACTTTTCATGATTACTATACCAGGTTAGAGTAGCTAGGTTTATCTCCTTAAAGGATGCAATGATCTGACAAGCTGAAAGTTTTAATTTGTCTTGCTTAGTGTTTTAAGGTATGCTAGTGTTTAAAAGCCTGTAATTTTATCCTGTGTGTTCCATCTGATCTGCACTCTTGGACTGTATTATCTGACAAGGTAAGGATAACTGAAATCTGGCTGAGGATAACTTCTTCCCATGACTTGGGGAAGAACCACTGGCAGATTTTTGCTGTTTCCCCTGTTAGAATGTTACTTCTTTTTCCCTCTGGAGAAGTTATAGGTTTATTTATTTAGGTTATTGGTTTCCTTTCGTATGGTGTCTTTTTATTGGGGATCAAACTCAGAACCTTGCACTTGCCAAGCAGGGCAGCACCGCTGAGCTACATCCCCAGCCCCTGTAGTCATATTTTCTAGAGCTGTACTATTTCATCCTCATATAGCTTGCTTTTAGTTGATTCCCTGAACCTCATTCATGAACTTACTGATTCACTTCTAGTTTCAATGACCTGACAACTGTTATGTAGAGACAATTTTTGTGTCTATACACAGAACAGTGGAAGAATGGAAAGAGAATTATTTAGACTATTGGGAGGTCTAAGAGGTAGCATTTGCTTGGGCTATGGAGGATATACATAGAAGACATAGGAAGGGAAGTGTTTTAGGCTAGACAGAATATTGTGGGCAGAAGGAACAACTTGAAGAGTTAGAAGTAAGCAAAAGAATGTTTTGAGAGCAACAGATAACTTAGCAAGATTTAACTACACTAGTGTTTTGGGTCTTATTCTGTCTGTAGAGATGAGCCCTTAAAGAATGGCTTGAAGCAGAATGGCTTCTGGAGATCTGTGCTTCAGAAAGGTAATTGATGATGTAGTATAGAGATTATGGTTAGGAGGCCTTTTTTTAAAAATTTATATATTAATTGGTACATTTTAGGTATACACTACATTTACATTTATCATTGGGTGTTTGTACCTGAACATGATGTATCTTAGTTCTTATTTTTTCCTCATTACCTATTTGCCCTCCACCCCCACCACCCTTCCCTATTTACATAGATTTCGTTTCCAGTTTTTTTTTTTCTTTCTCATAATTTTTCCTTTCCTTTCTTCCCTTTCCCCTTCCCCTCCCGCCAACCCTCCCAGGAGGCCTTTTTAGTAGTACCTTAGAGAGAGAGAAAACTTGAATTGTGAGTGCCTGACTTTGGACAGTTAGGTGAGCTTGCATTAAGAGGCAGATTGCTGATTTATGCAAAACAGAATAAACTTTGGTGTTTGGCTGAATGATGGGCTTTCAGTGCTGTCTTGTAAGAATAGGACCAAGTAGTCTTTGTGTATACCACAGAAGCCAGTATATTGCCATTGTCAGAGAGAATACTTCTCCAAAAACAGTTGAAATAGTACTTAGGCACGTTTTTTAGGTAACACAGAGGATAAAGCAGAACTGTTGTGGATAGGTGAAAAATTTGGTCATTGTGCCACACGCAGTTGAGGCAGGTATACAGAAATAAAGACCTCTGGTAGAGAGTATATCTTTTATCCCTGGGTTCAGCCTCCCTTTTATCAGATGTCCCCTTTTTCTCTGTAATTATACTGAGTGCAAAGTATAGTATTTTGAAATCTTATATAAATTCAAAATGTTTAATTTCCTTTTGGAAGACATAAGCTCTTTTTTGTAATCTTTATTTTTACATTTTTTTAATTTTTAATTTTTTTTTTTCAATACTGGGGATTGAACTCAGGACCTTGCACTTGCGAGGTAGGCACATTGCCACTGAGCTAAATCCCCAGCCCCTCTTTTTTGTAACCTTTAAGACTTTACAGTTGTGGAACTGTGACATTCTTAGAAATTCTTCAAAGATATTTAGATTGACACTAATAGTGGACAAAATACCCATAGAAATAAGTTTCTCCCCTGTCTCCAAGATTGATGGGAAATTAACTATCCTTGATCCTCAGTTCTTACAGTTTTAGTGAACAGATTCCTAGCAATGCATTTCAAGTGAGTAAACATGGAATTAAGGGCAGTATAGTTGTGAAGTTATAAGCAACCCACCTACTGTTTTTGTGCATCTGTTCACAACATTTAACTGGGCTTCAGGGTATTCGC